GCTGTGTTATCGCAGTGACCCATGTGAACTGAGGCACTGATTGGAGGCTAGACGAAGTGACTCTCCAGGCTTATGTGCACCACGCACCACGGACACTTACACATGCGCATATGCAACACACCCCTCTACCCCCCCACCCCAATCACACACATATATTTAACACAACACCACACACGGAACCAACAATACCAGGCCGACCAGACTTGCCTATCTGTGCTGGTGTGCCTCCACCCCCCCTTCCCACCTCCCCCGTGCAAGTTGTTTTGAGTTTTTATGTTGTAAATGTGCTCATATGTGCTTATGTTCTGGGTTTTTTTCCAATCCCAGACCTGTACTCCCTATAGGAGCAGAGTCTTGGGACTGCTTTTTTTTTCCTACCTCTCCTCCTCCTTGTCCCCCCACCCCTTTAGCAAATGTTCGTTGGTAACGTTGTACTTGTGACAATGACAAATAAAGATTCTGATTCTGATTCTGATTATTACATTGTGTGCTTGTGTGTGTGTCCCTGACCTTTGTTGTTGAAACGGAACAGGTTAACAAATGAGCTGTACGCGGAGCGGAGGGGAGGCTCATCCTGCTCCGGAGTCAGTGGTTTGAAGTGGGTCAGGTGGGAGGGGCTGGTGGGCGATATGACAGGCGGCTCGACACTCCAGTCCGTTGAGGATGAGGACGAGGACTTGTCGTCAGCAGCCATGTCACTGCTGGTCCTGCTAGAGAGGCAACAAAATAAAAATATATAAATAAAAATCAAAAGCATGTGTAAGTGATCGGCGTTCCTTACACGGTGGAAGGACTCTTATCGAATAGTGACAGATCTTCTCGTATACCAGCATCTGTCAGCGGTCAGTTCCTAGAACAGACGATAAAGGTCTGCAATAAAATCCGCTATGGCATCAACAACCACTGAAGTTTCTTTCATCTACCCTGCTTTACACACAGAAACTAGACAGCGCAGCCATGCTCGGTTGCAGCAGTTTCTAGTAGAGGTCAACCAATAGTGGACTTTTACAAGCCAATATAAAAATGACTGTTTGGAGCAGGAAAAAGACAAAAACCAATAAATCAGTCTACCTCTGATTTTTAGCATCTGACATCTCCTTCCCTGGTGTTAACAACTGTCCACTTTCAAAAGACCTGTTTTGTAATTTATTAAGAGGCAATCAGAAACGTACAAATATGTTCAGGTGTCTCAAAATGAACACTGTTAAAACCCACTGACCAATGCACTCCGCCCGCTACCACATGGTTTCTTAAACTTTTTCATGTCCCCCACAGTAGATGCACATTAGACAACAGACTGCCAACTTGAGAGGATTTTGTCTTAAGGAATCCCCTCTGACTAATGTATGCTTAGGTTTGAAGATTATAAAGTCGTCATAGAGAATCAATTATCAAACTGGGATCACAAGAAATTACAATTAATAAAAACAGCCAATCCAATTGTTTTCCTTGTTGTTCCAACTTCCACAAAATGTGATAAGTTAAAATGTTCTATTCCTCAGACCCCAGCTTGAAATCCCTTGCTCTGGAACCCTTGTAGACCACTGATCTGACAGTATGTTGTACTGTATGTATGGTTAAATATAACCCGGACTCAACCTAACAAGATTCTTTTTTTTTTAACACTATACACATAAAGTCATAACAGCCAAATTGATACTACATGACAATAAACAGTGGTTGCAACTCTGCTGCAAAGGAGGAGAACGAACTCAAAACAAAGGCAGCCACAGAGCTTAAACAGAACCCAGGGTGTTTTAGTTTTATGAGCTCACCCAGAAACACATATGACAGTCATCATACTGCTTATAATGAGGAAGTCATATTTCATTGAAACCGACACGACCTTCTATGTTTCAAATAATAATAACCTTTCTAAAACATCACAGGATAACTTGAAGAGATCTGTCGGATTCTGTTTTTGTTGGTAGAAAGGAAACGGTCATTATGAAATTTTAGCTGTGTTTCTGAAACTTCTGTTTTTCCTCAACAGGAAACAGATTTAGTTCGCCATTTTCTAAATCAACACACTGTTGCTACAGTTTAAATCTGAACTACACACACATCGGACCTGTCACTGGATCACTTGATGGTCCAACAGATGAACTTGAACTCAGGAGCTGAACGGCTGATGGGTCACTTACAGTGGGCCCTCACTCACATCGACATTTCTTGTTCATTTACTAACCGTGTATAAAACGAGACTACCCCATCAAATCTCCTACAGACTTACCCTCTGAAGAAAGCTATAGACTTTGAGTTTGCAATGCATGCCATTTGAGAGAATGAGTGGAGGAAATAGCAGAAGTGGCAGCATCACATTCCCCACCTCATCATGTGATCATAACAGGCCGGAGCGTGACTAACTTCCGTTCTGTCCTCCTGATCCCTGACAGCCAGGGACACACTGCTCATGTACACTGGAGGATGTGTGATGTTTACTGTCACCTGGACGCGTTGGTGCTCTGCAAACATTACCAACCCCACAGAGCTTACAACCGGTGGATGTTGCCAAACTTAGCTAGCAAATGACTTGTAAGCTAGCTATCATGTGTAAGCAGTCAGCTAGCTAATTGAATTATACTGTGCATAATGGAATGTATACGTCGGTGTATTTGCCAAATGCGACATTTACAACCAAATTCATTTAATGAGTGTTTTATCAGCGGCGTCTACAACACAAAATTGTATATGGCTAGTTAACACTAGCCAGCTAGCTCAACGATATGTACAGTAACAGCTGTATTTAGCCAGGCTATCATCTGTTAGCCTCCTATGCTACCTAGCCGGTAGGCTGCAGCGACCTTATCATTGGCAGTTAACGCATGAAATAAGACTGGACTACCATGACAGCAACAAAATGAGAGTTACCCGTTCACTATCTGAATTTGACATCAATGTATGAAGCGCTCCGACCTCGAAGACATCTGTAAAACCATAGACATATAAAGATTATATGTCTATGTGTAAAACACCTGAAAGCAAGCCGACTCCCGTTCACAAGCAGCCCTGACGAATCGAGACACGCACCGAATCCAAACTGTTGTGATGAAGAGAAAAGGCAGCACGGTTCAAACTCAGAGATATCGATTGCACCGCTCTATTCTCACGACGCTATCTAGATGCTCGTTTAAGTCACTGTCAGTACTTTATAGTTCTAAAACAGATACATTTGCATTTTACTGTAGGCAAGCCTACTATATGGCACTATACTTGTCAACTGTTTTTGTTGTGACAGGGCCTTTACAAGAGACAAACACTTCTAAAAGCAAGAGACAGAGCAGCACTGTACTGCAGCTGTGCAGTCTGTATACGGCCATAAGCACAGCATTTCTCACTAAATACCAAGAATTTGACACAGTTAAACCAGAACAAAATTCTAAATTTAACCTGACATTGCCATGGAACCAGGCAAATATTTCAGAGCATGTCACAGCCTGAGGGAAAACCAGCAAAACATATGTAACTGTAGTACAGATCTCCTTCACATATAGATAGATAGATAGATAGTATGTATACATCCATGTCTGCAGTATATACAGTGTGTAGGATTTATATTTGACAGTGATGATACTTGCATACCAAAGCACAATGTGTATTTTACATTTTAAATATATATTTTACAATGTATAGTTAAATAGATGTTTCAGTGTTACAATGTTATTGACACTATATGACTGATTTAACTGTTCATTAGAGGGATGGCCTTTGGAGAGAAATCATTTTGGGTGGTTATTTTGGTGTACAGTGTTCTGTAGCGCCTTCCAGAGGGGAGGAACAGGAACAGCTTGTGATGGGTCTGCGGGGATGTTTCCTGTCCTGACTCTCATTTTGGGCTGGCACAGTGAGCTGGATGACTTCTAGGATGACCAGATAGATGGATGTAGTGTAGTAATGTAGTTGACTTTTGTGTAGTTTATTGTAGTGCATATTGTATATACTGTCTTGTTTTTCTTACATTCAGAATCATTAGGTTGTAAACCCTGCTATGCTTAGGAAAGTTTACCTATTACAATTTAACTATGGCTATGTTAATAAAGAAGAAAAGAACACAATAAAAAATATTATATTATGCAACATAGGACAATGCTATTTTGGAGCCAGGTTCACACCTTTTTATTTACATAAAGGAACAACAACAATTTTCACAAAATAACCATACACATAGAGCATAGTATAGGGTTTGTAAAGGGGACAAAAGAAACCATTCTTAGCTAAGGGGACTTAAAATTCAAATTATATAAATGTTTTAAACAAAAACAGGTATTAATAGTTTAAACAAGTCAATACACTGTCAAAATGATTTACCCAAAATCTACTTTTATAAATACATGTACTTTTACAAAGTTATCTTATAAAAGCAATAGGATTAAATACAAAAGCAAATGAGATACACCCTAAAATAACATGTATTATAAATATAAAAGAGCCAAGGCAAAAAACTGCAAAAAACACACATGAGCCTGAAGATGAGTCAGAAAACCAAAACTATTCACCTGGGAAAAGGAAATGAATTTGACTATAGAATTGTAAGATTATCAGCACTTAAACAGATAACTAAAAACACCACAGTTTAGTAGTTTGGCTTTTTACCTGTACATCTGTATTTAGGGAATATGAATATGAATATTCAAAAAAAATCACAAAAGAGCATTTCAAATCTAATGGAGTAATGGCACTTGTCCTTCTCTCTTCGGGTGAGTGCGTACATTGATGCCCTTTAACTTGACTTTCAGGCTCTATGGCTGTTAACCAACATCCTTCGCTAAGATTTGTGTGTCATATTCAAGATCCAAATGTGGCACCAACATCTTATTAATAACATTCACAATTTAACTAGATTCTAATGCATAATCTAGACATATTTGAAGTCAACGGTGGTAGAGTTTGCCTGAACAGACCAACTCAGGGGAGTAAAACTCTAATATGATCGTTTCTGATTGGCCCCCAGCTTCAAGGACACGCCTCCGAGCACTTACGGGAAGCGCGGCGCACTTTTTGTTTATGTTTAAAAAGGAATTAGCGGCGTTTTTCCCACAATATATTTAGTAACATCACTATGAGCTTGTTTTGATCAATTCACGATTGGCATCAAGGGTTTATTTTGAAAAAGGCAAAGTCTACCACTGGTTAATGTTTAATTAAGGTAGGTTTTGTTTGAGTAACGTGCTAGTTACACCGCCGGGTTACAGCAGTTAACGTTAGCAGAGATACACCGTTCAGGTTAACGTTAACGTTACATCAGCTAATGCTAACGTCGGCTAGCTGGTTGTTTAGCTGCTGGGCGTGCTAGCTGAATAACTGGTGTACAAAACCTTCCACGTTTGTTTTCTTTCAGGTTGTTGATTTCGTTTCTCATCGTGTTTATCTGGCCATGTTGCATGTGAGGACAATGACACCCTCAACGGGTTCCAAGCAGACTTCAGCTGCAGCATCAAAGATCAAAAATAAGATTCTCAGTGAGTGTAATTCATCTGAACACATTTACAAACACAGTACACTACCAGCTCTGTGGCTCTCACACATTTTCTGATACTAATGCTGTGATGCTCCTCCATTGCCACACCAGACACCTCCTCCTTCTTCAAGGTGTCTTTGAAGACCAACAACAAGGCCCTAGCTCTGGCTTTGGAGGCCCAGAAGGAGAGGAGCAGGCAGCTGGAGAAGGAGATTGTGTACCTGCAGAAACAGGTGGAGGCTCTGTGCTTCGAGCTGGCCACCAAGAAATACAAGCACAGGAAACTGGTTGGTTTGTTGTTTGCTTAAAATGATTATTTTTTGTTAGTTACAGTACTAATCATCATGGCCTGTATTGATTATAATTCACTGACTATCTCAGAAATGTTCGGTTTGATTGTGTTGAGTTCACCTTGTTTTTCTCTCACAGCTCCTCATCCTGAAAAATCTCCATAGCAACACTCTGCAGCACTTGGACATGGTGGCTGACCTATTCTCTGACAGTGTAAGGATTCCTCTTACCAAAGGGACTGTTCACCCCAAAATCAAAAGCACTTACTTGTAGTAATATTTATTCATCTACACTGATTTGGAGATATTAGCTGTAGAGATGTCTACTCAAGATAATCCCCAGACCTTGTTGTGAGCAGTTTCATGAAGGAACTATTTTCTTTTTACTGAACCACACCTACCAACCACTAGAAGGAAGCGTGCATCTACAGAGGAAGACCCCATTAATGTTTACGTCCTGCGAGAAGATGCACGCTTCCTGTAATACGTAGAAAGAAAAAAGCTCCTACATGACACTTCTTACAACAAGGTCTGTGGATTATCAGCATCTGAGAACAGGATATCAACATAATGAAGAATTAATCAAAGAATCTTTTTCTGATATATATATAT